AGCTCTGGACTGACCTCCACCGTGAGCTAGAGCCCAGTCACCCCGGGGAAGAACCTGGCCTGGAAACTGCATTAGGATGAGGGGCGACATTCCTCAGGGTGTCCAAAGGGTGACATGGCAGTGAGGAGAGACAGGGCGGCCTCCTCCCAACACATGCAGCCTGGCCTCTGACCTTGTAAGGTCCCAGGTGCCAGGGAGGGGCACTCTAGCTAGGGAGATTGGGTGAGCTAAAAAAAAAAAAAAAAGAATTTAGGATTATCTCACCCTTCTGTGTCGTTCTGTGCAGTGTAGACAGAATGCTTGACGTGCAGGGGAGGTCATGTGTGCACACACGTGTGCAAGTGTGTGCAGGTGTGAGGTTAGTGGGAGTGAGGAGAAGGGGCAGGAGTCGCTTGAGGGCAAGCCCAGGTGGCTGGTGGGTAGCTGCACTGGGGCTCTTGGGGTCAAGCAACTGAACCCCAGTTCAAGGTGACTTAATCCAGCGGTGGGGGGAGTGTGTGGACTGAATTATGTCCCTCCAAAATTCACACGTTGAAGTCCTAACCCCCAGCACCTGAGAATGCGACTGCATGGGGTGACAGGGACTTCAAAGAGGCGCTAGAGTTAACACGAGGCTATCGAGGTGGCCCTGCCCCAGTGCTGCCGTCTTTCTAGGAAGAGATGAGGACACAGACACACACGGAGGGGAGGTCAGAGGGGACACATGGAGGAGACGGCCATCTATGAGCCGAGGAGAGAGACCTCAGAAGCAGCCAACCCTGCTGGCACCTTGACCTTGGACTTCTACCCTCCAGAACTGCGAGAGGTTCAGTTCCTGTGGTTTAAGCCCCCCAGCACTTGGTAATAATGGTGGCCGCGGCAAAATAATACAGGGAAGGGATGGGGGAAGGGGGCGCGTTAGGGTGTCACTCAGCCAAACCGCAGGAAGCAGGAGTGGACCAGCTTCAGGGACAGCTGGATCCAGGGCCTGTGTCGCCCCTCCCTGCACCCTTCTCCCATCTTGTGTTCTTCTCTGGTTGCCCCCACTCTCGGGGGCGCCTCCTGCGGGACGGACATGGCAGCTCTGCGGCACTGAGGCACATCTTATGGCTTGAAATCCAAAAGCCAGGGAAAGCTAACTTTTCGGAAAGGTCAAGGGAAAGATTCTGTTTCCCTGGAGCTCGGTGCCTACCATCCCAGGGCCTGGGGACTGCAGGGCTGCGATTGGTCCGGACGGCGTCATGTGACCTCGCTGAAGGTGGGGGTGGGGTGAGGGGGTGGAGGCCATGGGGCAGGGTGATCATCAGACCCCCACCCCCAAAAAGGACAGGAAGTGGGGGCAACGGCGGAAGCAGGGAGGAATCCCTCAGCAGGCGTCTGAGGCCCAGACAGGGACAGGCCACGCAGCCCGTGTGTGGGGCAGAGCCAGGGCGGCCAGCTCCGCCTGGCCTCTGAGCATCCCAGTGGTGAGAAGAATGAGGCGGCGGACACCCCGGCCACTTAGGAATTGGCTGCCAGGCCTCGGGCAAGGAGGCGTGGTGTGGGGCTGGCTGTTGGAAGTACTCACCCAACCAGGCCCTTGCAGTCCCGGAGCGACCACCTTGTTTTAAGTCCGGAGCCCGAGGAGCTGTCTTTCCCTTTAAACCTGTGATTATAGAGCAATTTTCTGCCAGGTGGAGGGGGCGGGCCCAGCCGGAGGAGGAGGTCCTTCCGCCCGCCCGGGACTGTCTGGCTCGAACTGGTCACCGTAAACAGCTGGGTGTGGCCAGCCCCCTGCCCACGCCGAGATCCGCGCTCCCACTGGCCAGCTCAGAACGCAGAGAATCTAGGTACTCACTCTGTGCCTCAGTTTCCCCATTCGTCAGGCGAGAAAAACAATGCCTCCCTGAAAGAGCTCCGGGGGTTTGGAATGGGCAAAAACACGTACCGCCGGCATTCTCGAGGCGGGATGATTTTGCCTCCCCAGAGGGCATTTGGCTGGAGCGCCGTGATGTGGCCCCTGGTGGCGGGGGGGGCAGTTAGGGACACTGCTGTCCCCGAGCAGTGTCTGTCCAGAATGTCAGTAGTGCCCAGGCGAGAAACCCCACCGCGTGGGACAGGGCAGCGCCCAGTCTGTGTTGGCTGTTACTAAACCTGGCCTCTGGGTCGGGGGTCCCTGAATTCTCAGTCCTGTTGCTGGGGCTCCCGTGAGCGGCTGGGCGCGTGGGCTCAAATTTCTTTCCCTCTCTGAGTAGCAGGGGCTGCTGCTCCTGGGGTCCGGCTGCCCTGCCCCACCTGCTATGGAGGGGGAAGCAACCATCGGTAAAGAGGAAGGCTCTCTGGCTGCATGAAAGGATCCCACACTGTCCCCTAAGAGTCATAGGACACTCTTCTCGCAGTGCATTGCCCCTTCAGGGCTTGTGGCCGGCGCCGACCCCGCCTGGCTCAAGCCAAGGAGGTCCCACCCTAAGACTAGGCTAGAACTACCAGAGAGAGGCCGTGTCCTGTGCGGGGCTGCTAAGCTGGGAGGTCGTGTGTCTCTTGGTCATTTTGCCAAAAGATGGGGCAACCTGTCTGGGAATGAATTTGACAGCGAGGAAAGCAAAGCCAAGAAATAAAGAGAGATGAAGATCCTGAAAACGGCACTTCACCCTGAACGCAACCTCGTCCAACCCAGCGGCGTGGTCCTGGGCTGTTCTTTATGTAAGCCGGTAAACCCTTTTATTTTTAAACCAGCTTTTGAGTTGGGTTTCTGTCACTTGCCACTGGCTAATACAGATATCCTACTTGCTCTGTCCTAGAATCTTTTTTTTTTTTTTTCAGTTGGGAAAGTTTCCCAGCAGGAGAAAGCATATCTGGGCAAAAATATCCATTTTTGAGCAGTTCCACGTGGTAAGGTAAGTCCTAGGCTGGAAGGTAGGGGAGGGTGGGATTACCAATTTTGCAGTGGGGGGTGCAGGTGGGGAGGGACCAGCCTGAAATTTGGGGGCAGATGACTGTGTGTGTGTTTCTTCTCAGTGATTTCTTAGCTTCATAGAGCTGGGCAGGCCCCTCAGCCTTTCCAACCTCAGTTTCTTCATCTGTGCAATGGGTTCATGACCTCCTCAAAGAGGCTGTGGGGAAAATTAAATGAGCACACACACAGAGAAAGGCCACTTCGTCGTCAGTAAGTGCTGTGCAGTAGTCTTTATTGTTACAGTGTTAAAATTCACTCTTGGGAAGACACTCGGGGCCATGACGGGCCGCCAGCAGCCAGGAACAGCAGCTGTGTTCGTGGGCCACTCGCCTCCTTGGCAGCCCCCAACCCCCTCGTGTGGGAGGGCCTGGGAAATTCTCCCCACCACCCGACCATCGGCAGCAGTGTTAGATTCAGAGGGTGCTGCTCCCCACAGGGTGTTTTTTCGCACAGGGTTTTTTTTTTCCTGCCCCTAAACTGCCAGGAGCCTGTTGGAACCTCGGAAGGTGGTGCAGAGGTGATAGTGCCCCGAACACACAGGTGTTGATGGGCAGGGGAGGGCTGGCCTTGGAGAAGCCGAGGGGCTGGGCGCCCCTCCGGTGAGCCTCAAGTCCCATCTGGCCCAGATCATCCCATGCTGCCCCACCCAGCCCTGTTCAGTGACCTCACGGTTCGGGGTCACTATTCCGAGGCTCCTCCCGCTCCACTGCGTCTGGTCAGGTTGTCTGCCGCCGGCCTCTCAACCCCTACTGCAGCCCTGGTGGGCTGGCTGCGATGCTGAGATTCCTGGGGGAGGGCTCTGTTCAGCCCAGCACAAAGGGGGCCCTCAGAGGCATCTGGGGTCAGGGAGCTGAGTCTGCCAAGCAGGTGCCTTCCGATGGCTCCGCCTACCCCGGTTCTCCTCGGCCTCTGGTCCCCAGCTCCCCTTCTCAAGGGGCAGCACCTGCAGGCCTGGGTGACGACACCTCCAGGGAAGCACTCTGTATCGTTCCCGGGTCCAGCCGGTAAGGACCAAGGCCAGGACTCAGGCTGTTGGGACAGGATGTGGCAGGCCAGCGTGCTGCAGGTGGCCACTCCGCCCGCCTTTGCCAATGAGCTACCAGAGCTTTGTGCCCCCTGCTCTTCTGCCGCCCTCCAAGCGGAGTTGGGGTTTTTTCCAGCAGACAAAGCTCCCCTGATGTGACTCTGTGGAGGTTGTTTAGTCATCAGCCAGCTTGTTCTCCTGTTGAAAAGCCAGCTCCCAACGCTTGCCTGGCCGCCAAGGATAGGAGCCTCGAGTGCCGTAGGAGGGACGGTGTGGTCAGCGCATCATTCGGACCAAAAGGTGCCTTTCGGGTTGCCCGTGTTGCCCCAGGGCCGTCCAGCCTAATGCCGTCCCTGCCAGTGACCCCCAGTTGTCTGCTTGCTCATCTTGTCCCCAAAGGGATGGAGTCAGGGGACAATGAAAACTTGATTTCTGACCACCTGCAGGAATGATTACCCTCCTGGTTTGCTGCCCCCAAGAGGCAGGCCCTGGGGGGCCGGGTCACCCAGCCTGGGTGCTGGCTCAGGAAGGATCTGGGGCACCAGCTTAGCCTCAGTTGGGGGGGGGGCGTTGCTCTCCAACCTTGGCTGTGAGCTCTGTGGCTTTAGTCCCGTGCCTGGCTGAATGCCATCCAGATCCTGGGGTTCGGGGCCTCTGCAAAGCCAAGGCAGGTGCTAGAGCGTCACCCCTCAGTCCCTGGAATCAGAAATGTGTCCCTAGGAGGCCAGACATTCAGACGAGAGGGGCATCTACCTGCCCGCCCACCGGGCAATTGGTTCCCCGGGGGGGGGGGGGAAGAAAGGCTGTGCTTATGTGAAGGTGGGAGAGAACGCGGTGGCTGGGGAGGAGTGCTCCTCAGGAGGCAGGCGCGGGGCTGGGGCACTCTCGGAGGCTGACGCCCGTCCCCTGCGAGTGTTGGAGATTCAGACCGCTCCTGACTCCCCCTGCCGGCGGCTTCAGTAGAAGTGCAGCGTCGCGGCTCCAGTGAAGGATTCGCTTTGACAGCTGAAGGGGAAGCGGACCCCCCCCGCCCCACGACCTTCCCACGTCGTCGCTGAGGTCCAGGAACTCAATCAAGCCCGAGCACTCAAACTGAACCGGTTTCCAGGGGCTGTGCTCGGGGGATTCCCCCCTCTGTGTGTGGTCGAGCCCTGTGGGGGGCTCTGGGGAATGGAAACATGGAACATTCCTTGTGCTCCTCCTGCACACGGCTTCCAACATCACAGAGGTACAGAGAAGCAGCTCCGTGTTGGCTCTGCGTCATCGTAAATGAGAAATGAGACAGCCGCCCACCGCCAGCTTCCCACCCGTGTCCTGAGAGGTTACGGAGTGTGTTACAGACATTAGCAAGGGTTAGTCCTCACAGCATCCCTGGGAGGGAACCGGGAGTAGAGCAGATGAAGGGGTTGAGGCACGGAGAGGTGAGTTCACCGGGGAGACGCCCCCCAGCGAAACAGCAGCCCAGACGAGCCGTTCCGACTGTGCCCTGCGGGGTTCATCTCAGTGAGGACCCTGGGCGAGCACACCTCTGTTTCAGGTGACAGTCGTCCCGGCAAAGGTTTGCCGGGGGAGCTGTGAGCATTTCCCTGCCGCCCACCCCAGATCTGTCGCCACATTTGGCGCAGCTGTCACAGACCCCCTGACTCAGGTGTCCCTGATCCTGCCATCACCGTGCTTTTCACCCCGATGACCCAGGCTGTCTGCACCTCCTGGGAGTGTCACTGCTAAGCCCCGCCCTGCATGGGCCATGCTCCAGCTGTGAACCTGTGGAGCTGCTCTGGGGAGGGTGGGGAAACAGCTCTTGTCTACCCCGAGTGGCCCCGGGGTTTTTAGGGGACAGGAAATGACTTCCCTGTTTTGCTTTCACCCAAGAGGGATTCGGGGACCTGAAGAAGAACCCAGGCTCTCAGTCCCAGGGACGAAGATGCTGGCGAGGGGACGGCCCTCCGTGTGAGGTCTCAGCCCGAGGCAGCACCTCCTGTCACCTCCCTGCCTGGGTCCCGTGTGGACTGGCCAACCTCGGGCTTTGCCTGCTCCAACCACGGTCACTCCCGGGCACTGCGTGCCCGGCTGGAGTCCCATCCGCGCCCCCTAGGAGGGTGCCTGGGGACCTCCTCCCACTGTGGCGGCTCAGTTCAGGGCTCCAGGACAACAGCTGCCGGTCAGTCACTCTGAGGGGCTGGGCACGGCGACAGATCCTCGTGGCCGGCACCCTCCCGTGGAGCAGGAGGTCCGAGGCGGGGGTCTCCCCGCCCCTTGCGCCCCGGTCTGGAGTTGCAGCGGCGTGCTGGGATTCTTCCAGGACCAGAGGAGCGTGCTCAGCCCGAGGTCGCTATGTACAGTGGCTAGGCGGCTACTCTTCCTCCAGGCGAGACCCCGTGCTGGGTCCGGCGGGGCATTGGCCCTTACACGTTGGTGACCTCCAGGCCATTGTAGCCTTCCAGGCGGCCCTGCTCGGGCCTGCCCTGCAGGTCGTCGTCGCCGCAGTCCTCGTTTTGGAGAGAGCCGTAGTCCTCATGGAAATCGGGCTCCTTGCTGCTGAAGCCCCGTCCTATCTTCCCCAGGGGCAGCTGAGGAGAGAGGAATGAGACCAAAGGACGGGGGGGAAAAGAATGGACCTTTCAGGTCTGGGAAATGCAGGGGCGGGGGGGGCTCTCATTCTAACTGCTGTGTGACCTTGAGTAACTCATCTAACCTCTCTGTGCTTTCCCTGTTCATAATAAGACTCCACCGTGAGTTAACATCAGGAGAGAGCTCTGTGTCCCCAACTGGAAGGGGCCCGCCGGCCACCAAGGGTGAGGACAGGTGCAGCCTGTCTGACTGTCCGAAGCCTCCTGCCTCCCTCCTCGGTGGGGGAGTGCTCGGGGACACGTGCGACGGAGCGGAGCTGGAGCACCGTGGGGGGGGGAGCACTAGCACGGTCTGGTGTGGCAGGTGGGGGGTGTGGGTTTCAGAAGCCCCCACACCAGGGCTCGGATCCCCGCTCTGCCATGTCCCTGCTGTGTGACCCTGGACAAGTCACTTGCTCTCTCTGAACCTCAATTTTGTCAGCTACAAAATAGGAATAATAATTCCTTTTTTTTTCCATTATCCCCCCACCCCCCAAATGAGCATCTTAGATACTTTTTCCCTCCTCACACTCCTGCCGTGAACTTATACCACAGATATACCGAGCTTCAGTCTATGGACTGTTGGTGTATCTCTGCTAGTTATGTAAAAAGAGTACTTTTTTTTTTTTAAATTTCTGCCTCCCGCAGACCAATTTTTCACCCTTTTGAGGGTGTCGCCCTCAGTGACGATGCTCATTCTGGGCAGAGAGCGCCTCGGGGGGAAGGTGGAAACTTATTCATGCTTATCCCCCGTGCTTAGCGTGGAGCCTGGGATGTGTCAGGGACCCCCAATCGTCCACTGAAGCAATGGGAGGATTTTGGGGTTATCCACTCCCGCCATCTGGGTCTACGCACTTCCATTCTGGGCCCTGGGTCGGCCTGCGTCCACGTGATCGCCCTGAACTGCGCACGTTTCCTCCCATCAGCGCCCCCTCTGCTGCTATTGGTCGGGTCGCCGGAGTTCAATCTAAGTCCGTGGTTCTTAGAGCCTGGGGCGCTTAGGAGCCCCCGGGGTGGCTTGCATGCAGGGTTCCCTCCACCCCAGCGGGTGGGCCCCAGGATCTGCCTGATGAGCACCCGCCCAGGCCGCGCAGCTGCGGGCGGGGGAGAGCTGCCCCGTGAGCCTCCGCTCTGAGCCTCGTGGGGCTTCCGTGTCGCATGAGTCCCCTGAAGGGCGACTTCTCCAAGCTGCACCTGTGTCCTGGCCCAGTGGCCCCCTCCACAGGCCAACACAGGAGCTGGGGAAGGGCGAAGCGGACCCAGATGATAAAAAACCCTCCCCGGGCTGCAGGACTCACAGGTGAACGCACGGGGGCGACTTACCCGGCCAGCCTTGTGCTTGAGGCCGCTGCTGTTCTCCTCCCTCCCCGCGCGGGTGACGCTGGAGGCCCTCCCGGGGGGCGTGCCGAAGCGCTCCGCCTCCCGGATGCCCGTGGAGCTGGGGGAAGACACATTTCCAGTGAGTGGGGGGCCCTCCCCCGCTCAGCCACTGCCTCACAGGGACATGCGCACTCACACGGCGGTGCCCTGCCTGCCCCGGGGCGGCGGTGCCCCTGGGGCTGTGTGCTCTGTAAGGGGGTGATAACAGCACTTCTCCCACGAGGTCGCTGCGGGGATTAAACGAGATGATACACGCAAAGGGCCGAGAAGGGGCTGGGACACCACGAATAACTGCTGTGATTATATCTCACTGAGACCAACACCTGGTCTGAGTCCCCTAGCTGTGCCGTTGTGCCAGCTGGTGACCTTGCTGGGCCTCAGTTTCCTCATCTGTACAATGGAGCCCTGCACGCGCCTCCGGTCTTAACAAGCTTTATACCCGGACCAGAAGGTGGCTGCCTCCAGGGTGTGGACGGGGGTTGGGGACGGCCCTGCCACCACCGTGCCCCAGTCGCTCCCCGTGCGTTTCCGGCAGCAGGTGAAGGTGGGGACCTTGTCGCTCCTTTGGACGAAAAGGTGTGAACGTACAAAAGCTTCAGGGAATAAACCGAGCACGGGACGAAGGGTTTTGGAGGCTTGGCATGGCTTATTCAAAATGTCTAGTCACTTCGTCAGACCTCGAGGGAATGGGACGGTGGAAGGGTCAGTTCTGACGAGGGAAGGTTCTGGAGAACAGGGCATCGCGGTGGGGTTTCCTGAGTCCTCCGAGACCCTGGGAGGCTTCCTGGTGCAGGAAGGAAGGTCTTCCGCCCAGGGGCGGGCTGAGTCTCACCCAATCAAATGAGGATTTGCTACGGGCCCAGGACGGAAGGAAAGGGTATTCACTGTGAGCCAGGCCTGCCCCTGCCCCTGGGTCCCGCACCCATGGGAGCTCCTTCAACCCCCTCGGAAGCCCAGACGGGGAGCAGTGGTTACTCCCACTTCAGGTTGGGGAGCTGAGGGCAAGATTCCTGCTACAATAAAGTCCCGCAGGTGGTGGAGGAGCCAGCAATCCCGTGCCCTCCAAACCCAAGCCCCGCCCCTCGGTCACACAGACCACGCCTCCAGGCCCCGAACCTGCCCCGCCCCCAGTGCCGGTCTCCCGGCTCAAGCTCAGTGAGCATTTGGGGTGCGGTGGCCAGGGATTTATAAAACACCACTTTCTCGTGGGTGCCTGGAAATCTCAACGGGCCCCTTCCATCCCTGCTCGGGTGACCTGCCGAGTGGCCCAAGAATGTCCCCCTTGCCCGTCGCTCGGGCTCCTGGGACCCAGGCTGGGGAAGCCTGGCTGCCAAGGAGGTGGAAAGGGGGGGCCAGGCCCCGGGTTCTGTGCACCTGGGAGTCAAGTCTCAGAGTTCCCAGGGGAATCGCTGGTCTCCCCTGAAATGATGAGGAGGACCCTTATGTGCAAATGCGCAAGGGGAGCCCCCAGGGGAGCCCCGCCCCCACCAGCTGAAGAGGAAATGCTTTGCTTTGCGGAAAGACTTCAGTCTTCCCGCGTGGCCCGGGGATGTGACCTGTCCATCACTGTGGGGCATCTGTGTGTCAGAGGCGCTGCATGCCACTGGCCTCCGTGAGTTTTTGCTACAGGGCCCCGGGGGGCACATCTACTGGGGAGCAGAGCCAGGTGCGCGTTGCCCCCCCTTAGAGCTTCCGCGTGGTGGGAGGTGCCACCTCGCCAATGACACCTGTCCCGTCTTCAGCAAGTCCCAGCACCTCTGCAGCCTCAGTTTTCTTATCCACAAAATGGGCATGGCCCCTTCTCACTTGGCTTCTCTCACGGGGACGAGGATCGAGTGAATGGAGGGGTGGGACCGCACTCTGTCGGTGATAATGCGCGAAGTAAGCATGTCAGGGTCCCCCCAGCCCGGCACTGGTCTGGGACAGTGTCCCGGGTTGGCCCCGGTCTCTGCTCGAGCACACAGCAAGTGCTCAGCGAACGGTCACCTGACCCTAGCAGCTACAGTCGTCTGAAGGGGGCGGCCCCGTGGGAGGACCCTCGTTTATCCGTCCAGGGGTTTATCCTCTGGTCACTTTTCAGATGGGGAGACGGGGCGGGGGGGCTGACACAGTCTGCTCACCTGGACCAGAGGACACCATCCACATGCCTGTCCCTTTCTCAGACCTTCGTCCCCGCAACGACCCCTGCCTGGAGTGGCCGCCTCGACAACTGGCGCTCGCCGCTGAGGCTGGTGCCAACTGTCCCCAGCTCAAAGCCACCCTTGTGCGGCCTTTGCTTACAACGTGACTCCAGACCTGACTGCCTCTCTCCCTCTTTCTGGCCCACGACGTTTGGGCTTAAGCACTTCGCTTCTCTGAGCCTCAGTTTCCCGATCTGTAAGCGGAGGCCGACCGCCGTGTGGCGAGGGACACGTGAGGCCCGGTGAGCGAGGGGCCGCGAGGGGAAGTCAGGGCCGCCCCGCTCGGAGCCCCGGGGCGCGGCCGCCGGCAGCCCGCACGCACGCACGCACGCACGCACCTGGCCGGGGGGAAGACGGCGCTCATCTCCTCCGCCAGGTGTCTGCGGAGGATGTGCTTCCCGCTGGGGATGCCCAGCGCGGTGGCCATGGCCTCGGCGTTGAACGTGGGCTCCAGCACCAGCACGGCGCCGTGGACCCCGCTGTTGGTCAGGTTGTCCGCGTACTCCTGAGGGCAAGGGCGAGGTTGGTGAGCCCGAGGGGCCGCCCTGCTGACCTGCGGGGTAGCCTGCCGGCCTGAGGGGGCTCCAGCTCCAGGTCGGGCTATGTCCCCAACAGCAAGGGCCTGACCCCTGGGGGACCCGTCATGTAATAATGAGGGGGAACCCTAGCCTCACTCTTTGAGGGCCTTGAGGGTGGTGACCGAGACTATTTCGTCCCTGACCCATGCCAGACCTTGGTGGGCAGCCCATAAATAAATCCTCGAGTGGGAAGATGGGCCCGATTCAACCCCACGCTCGCTGGGGAGAGGGAAGATGGCTCAGCACCCCCACCCCCACTGTGAGGAAAACAGTGTGGGGGGGTCCTGCTGGGGGGGAGGGCTGAGTGGCTCCCTCCTCTTGAGGGGGGGGGGCAGGGTATCGTTGCCAGCCTGGGTAACGATGCCCCCGCTCGCACATGAGTGGATACTGATTCCCACGCAGATATGCATGGGACCGACACCTGCCTGAGAGCCACCCCACCCCCGCCAGCACCCCTCACCTTCAGGTCGATATCTCGCACCCACTTGAGCACCCGCTGGTTGGTCCAGACCACAGGGTCTGTGTTCTGTGTCTCGCAGCGGGCCCGGCGCTCCTGGAGGGCCTGGCGGGGACGGAGACAGGGGGTTAGTCTGGGGGACACGGGGGCACGCTGAGGTCACATGGGGAGTGAGGGTCCACGGTGCTCGCAGGGACCTCGGCCGGCCCGTGCGGGGGTAAGCAGTGGGACCCTGAGGGATGAGGCTCCCCGTCTCCCTGGGATTGAGCACGGGCCTGCCCCGTGTGTAAGCAGTCGTTGGAAGGAGAGATGGAGAAAGGGAGAAATGGGTGCAAGCCTGGATGGTGGGCAGATGGATGGATGGATTCACGCATGCGTGGGTGGATGGGTGCACGGCTGCATGAGTGCCTGGATGGACAGATGGGTAGAAGGGAAGACGGCTGGGTGGACAGACAGTGAGTGCCGGAGGGGCAGGCGAGGCTGTGGAAGGTGCCTGCACCCCACAGCCTGGGTCTCACCTCTCTGCTGAAGTTCACTTGGTACAGCAGCTCGATGCCCAGCAGGATGCTGACCTGGTGGAACTTCTTGGACACGTTCAGGTGCTTCTCCAGGTCCCGCTTCATCAGGGAGTTCAGCATCCGCCCATCCACCAGGTGGTTCTGGAAGGCCTGGGAGTACTGGGACAGGCCGATGTCGTTCAGCCAGGCCTTGGCCACCCAGTGATGGTCCAGGTCGGCGGCTTTGGACAGGCTGGTGAAGAGAGACACGGCCAGGGAGAGGGGTGGGTGGGGAGAGGTAGACGAAATAGAGGGACGGGCGGAAATGGTGCAGAGATAAGCAGAGGTGAGGAGAGAAGGGGGAGCAATGGTAGGGGGGAGGCAGGGAACCAAGAAAATCAGAGAGGTAGGCAGGAACGGGTGTGGAATGGGGAGATCGGAAGAAAGAGATGGAGTGGAAAGAGAAAGCGGGGAGGAAGAGAGAGGAGAGAGAGAGAAAGAAGAGGCAGAGAGAGAGAGAGAGAGTGTGTGTGTGTGTGTGTGAGAGGGAGAGAGAGGGGGGGAGGCAGAGCCCCAAAGAACAACGGGATCCAGAGAGACGGGGGACAGGAAAAGAGAAAAGGCCCCTCTCGGACACACTGACGGTGACAAGGGACTGAGGCAGAGCAGCAGGGGCCTATGCAGCAGGAAGCAGCCTGGGGGCTCTGCAGCACCCCGAGGCCCACAGACCTGAAGCCCACAGACCCTTGGCCTGGCCCGTGCAGGTGTGTGTCCTTGGACTTCAGCCAGAGCCACGCAGCGGCGCGTCCTGGGATCAGAATCAAAGTCTGCCTTTTGTGTGTTCTAAGTCCTCTCTCCTCCCCGCCACACCTCAGATCTCTTTGTATCCCACACAGAACTTACCCCATTGCCACGCACACAGTAGGTGCACTACAAGTACTTCTCCCACGCACACAAGAGTGGATGCCCTGGCGGGGGTAGTCCAGTCGACTGCCATTCCCGTGCTCGCCACACGGTGGCAGCCTCGCAGAAGGAATAAGGACAGCATCTCCCACCCCCACCGCGGGGACTTGGAGAAATGACCGGAGGGGCTACTAGGTAGGGGAGAAGCGTCGTTGTGTAAGTGGGAGCCGCAGGGGACCGTGAACCAATCACAATGTGAAAGCAAGAAAGGAAACCGCGGGACTCACAGAGTGGTGCCACTCTCCTTCCCTTCCCCCCAGGTAGAAGCAACACCCCCCCACTCCTTCCCAGCTCGGGTCAGGGCCAGTGCACGCTGGGAGAAGGGTGAGAGGCTCGTCCCCGTTCACCCTTCTGTGGGGGCCGCCCTGCCACCCACCCAGGCTGGAGACCCGGGTTGGATTTTTCAACTCCACCTGACTCAGTTTCCTCCTTCGTACTCTCCACTGCTCCCTCCAGGTACCCCCTTCTCTCCCCTGGGCTTTGCCCGCCAAGCGGTGCCCTCGCCAGTCCCTCCCCCCAGACACAGCTAGCAGATCACGCCCCTCTCCCGCTGTCGGTCCTCACTGGTTCTTCCCTGTCCTTCGTTCGCTCCAAGAACACGCACTGAGCAGCTACTGAGCGCCGCGCCTGGGTGGGTACTGCCCTGTCGTGAGCACCGGGCCCTGGAGGCCCCTCCCCTCCTTTCTCCCCTCACGCTCTCCATCTCTGGGGGACACCCCTTCTCCGAGCTCTGGACTCCGTCTGCAAACGGGGAGTCCTAAATTCACGTCCCTCCTCTCTTCTGAGCCCCAGGTTCTAACTAACCGCCCTCTTGACCTCTCCTGGCGGTCGCAGCCACATCTGATGGGCTCCAATTGAAATGCCCCGTCCCCTTGCCCAGCTCTTCCCCACCCCCCACGGTCATCCAGCTCCCTGTGCTCACTTGCCCCGCCTCTTCCCTCTCCCACCCTGTCCTTCTGTCAGGTCAGTGTGTCTGTCCTTTTCTCTCTCCTTTTCTGGGTTCAAGCCCCAGCCACCTCTGGCATGGATTTCTGCACCTGCCTCCTGACTATGCCCACCCTCCCCGCCCCTGCTGATGCACGCTCCCCGTGGCTGCCAGACGGACGTGTAAAGACATCAGTGAGGGCACGCCGCTCCTCTGCTCAAAATGCCCCTGTGGAGGAACCTTAAATGCGTATCACTGAGTGAGAGAAGCCAATCTGAAAAAAAAAAACTACATACTGTATGGTTCTGAGTACATGATGTTCTGGAAAAAGCGAAACTATGGGGACGGTAAACAATGAGGGCTTGCCAGGAGTTAGGGGAGAGGGAGGGATGGACCGGTGGAGGGAGCAAGGAGGAGTTGTAAGGCGCTGAAGCTGCTCCGTGTGATGCTGCAACGGTGGATGCACATTGTCGTAGGTGTGTCCGACCACGCAGCATGCGCCCCGCCAGGAGCAAGCCCTCACGTCCGCTATGGACCGGGGTGCTGCTGACGGTGTGGCCATACAGGCTCAGTTGTACCGAATGTCCCACCTAGTGGGGGACGGGACAGCTGCGCGTGTGGAGGAGCCGGGGTGCATGGGAGGCCTCTGCACCTGTGCCCCAGTGTTGCTCTGGATCTAACGTTTCTTTAAAACAATGAGTCTTACAAAAATGAGGGTGGAAACAAAGACTTTTTTTAACCAGCAAAATTGAGAGAAGTCATCCTCAGAGGAATGGACTCCAAGAAAGGTGAAAGGGATTTCTTCCAGAGGAAAGAAGTCAATCCACCGGTGGCAGTTTGGACTGCACGAAAGAATCTAAGGGAGAACTCCTGAAACGGAGCCACAGAGAGGTAACCCGATTCAGAGATGGGCACCCGGCTTTAACGGGCATTTCTGTACAGGAGATCCAGGGGGACCCAAGGCACCTGTGACAAATGCTCAAGGTCACTAATCCACAGGGAAACGCCAAATCGAAACCGCAGCCAAGTGCCACCTTACACCCATTCGGATGGCTGTTATCCAAACCCCGCCCCCCCCCCCCCCGCAACATCAGTGTGGGGATGTGGGGGAATCAGAGCCCTCGGGCCGCTGCTGGCGGGGACGTAAAATGGTGCAGCTGCCGTGGAAAACAGTGTGGTGGGCCCTCCAAACGTAAACATAGTGTTCCCACCTAACCCAGAATCCCACTTCTGGGTGTGCACCCGAACGAATCCTGAGTAGTAGGGTCTTAAAGGGGCGCTTGCCCACCTGTGTTCCCAGCTGCACTACTCACAGCAGCCACAAGGGGGCGGCCACCCCAGAGTCCCTCAGCAGACGAAGGGGGATGAGCCGCAGGTGGTGAAGGCGTACTAGGGAATATTATTCAGCCTTTTAAGAAAAAAGGACACTCTGCAATATGCTGCAACATGAATTAACCTCGAGGACAAGGTATAATGGAGCACATTATTCACAAGCATGAGGACAACAGCACAGAGGCAGGAGGAGGGATCGCTGAACGCTGTAGACGGAGCTGTCTCAGGCCACTCGAGGGAGGCGCTGGTGCACCAAGTGGGCGTGTTGTAGCCCGCGGCGCGACGGCGGGACGCGAAACAAAGAGGCATCGTCGTTCATACGCCAGGGGTGGGAACACTGAACTAGTGGAAAATAAGCCAGTAGAAGAGGGAAAAAGGACGAAGGGTAGATTTAAATACAGTGGAACCTTAGTTTCCAAACTTAAATGTGCCCCAGGGGGCCGTTCGAGAAGCGGTTTGTTTGAAAACCGAATCGCTGTCCCCCAGGCGTCACAGCACGACAGGGTTGTGGGGTCCCCGAGACGGAAGTTCTGCTCGACAACCGAGTCTTTTTTCCCCCCGTGAACCACTTGGTGGTGGAGAACCCAACTGTTCGAGGTGGGAGAGGTTCGAGGACCCAGGCGGGACTGCAAAGTCAAACAGGAGAACTGGACCGTGACTTTGCTCTGGGGGAGGAAACTCGGAAGTCCTTGGAGGGGCCTGACGAAGCCTGCTCTCCCTTCCGGCGGGGGCGCCCCCCTCCCGCCCCCACTGCCGCCCCTGCACCCTTTCCTTCCAGCCCCGTCCCCAGGCTCGCTCCGCAGCGCCCCTGCAGGCCCCACCCCCACCCTGCAGAGCCTGCGCGGTCTGAGGTTGCCCTCCAGCCTGAGCCCTCCTCCTCTGAGCGTTTCCTGCTAAGCAAGAGTCACACGTGGAACTTGAAAATTCATCGATCCGAGTGCAGGGGTTGTTCTCTGCAAGACAGCCGGCCCGGTGCCCGCCCAGGGCAGACCCTTCACGGAAGGAATGACTGCAGGAGGAGCGCTGGGGTCCTGGCTTCCCACCCCTCCTTCCGCCCCTCCGTCACCCAGAACCACCGCGTCTGCCGCCACGGGCCAGGGCCTCCTTGTCTCCCCATCCACAGTCCTGCTCCCCAGCCCCGTGCACCCTCTTCACCTGCCAAACCCTGCAGGACTGTGCGGAGACACTGGGCTCTCCGGAGCCCTCATACCCCTGGGCTGCTGCTGGGTCAGGGCCCTGTCTGGGCCCAGAGCCTCTGGGGCGTCCTGCCCCCCATCCTGGCCTCCCTGGCTCCTTGCTGCTCTTCTGGGGGGCGGGACCAGTGGCGGCACATCTACGAACGCCCAGGGGTCCCACCTGGGCCCCACCTGGCTCAGTTAATGCTCGACAGCGTCCCACCCCTGGAAGACAGAGTGGGGTGTGGGCTCCGGGGGGATGCAGGCAGACCCCCTCCCACACCTCCAGCGCTGGCTCCAGCCTGGTCACTTCAGAGGGACCCCTCTCAGCCCCAGCCATCACTGCCCGGTGTCCCTTGCAGGAGTCGGAGCTCGGGGCTCCGTGCATCACATGCCACGGCACCTGTGCGGTGGCTGCTGGAGCCCAGAGCCGCCTCCTCTCCCGGGCAAAGGAGGGGCTTGCTCAGCACATTGGTGGTGCAGCAGGCTGTGGGGCGGGGTGGACAGGCCCCCTCACCGACTCAGGAGGAGCCCACTTACAACCCGCAGCGCCCCTCTGCATGCCAACAATGGCCACACGCCCGCCCTTCATGACATTCTCCTGTCATCACAGTCATCCCCATGGCACCCCCCTGGGCAGCCCTCCCTCAGCGGTGGGTCTGAGCTGCAGGGAGCGCCCAAGTGGAATAAAATGGCGTGAGAACTTACAAGTCATTCAAGACATTTTATGAAACTGGACTCTGGCCCCTCCCCCAACTGGGGCTGCATGAGACCCTGAGATCAAGTTTGGGCACAGACTTAGACATCATCCGGGTCACTATTCAACACAGAAAGCACGAGGCTGCACTAGCTCCAAGATCTTGCTCCTTTGTGCCTCGGTTTCCTCATATGCAAAGTGGGGTTGATCGTGTTAGCCTCCTAGCGTTGCGAGGACTAAGGGAAACGGGAAGGGAAGGCCCTCAGCTCAGGCCCCGGGGCACGCTGACTGTTCCATAAATAACAGTAGAAGGGGCTGTTGCTCTTGTTTCAACACAAAGGGGACATGGGAGTCAGTTCAAAGTTAGATACTTTGTAGCGTGACCTCATTCCCAGGACTTCTCTGGGGCCCCCTTTCTCCATCGTTAGTTAAAATGGGGTAAGGATGTCTCTCCTGCACTGGTGTTGTGCCGGGTGAAGTGAAATCGTACCCGTGAAGTGACGGGGGATGCTTTGGCACGTGCCGGTGAATTGCGTTGTCGGTATTTTAGAAATGAGGGGAACGGGCCCAGAGAGGGCAATGTCCAGCCCCAAGTCACACAGCACGTGTTCAGTATGTGGCCTGGGGTTCTTACCCTGGAGTTCTATGGGTGGGTCAGAGGATGCTAGGGTGCAAATTTGTGACGTTTTGTATATTTCTTCTGGCAAAAGTGTCAAACGTTTTTATTAGATTTTCAAAGGGGCCATGACCCCCCACAGTTAAAGAGCTGCTGTTCTGATTCACCCCCTTGACTTCACGGGGGGAGGAGTCCCAGAGAGAGAGAGCAAGGCCACACGGCAAGTTAGAGACAGGCCAGGTGTCCGCAGGGAGTGAAGGGGACCCTCGGTCGGAGCCCCTCCACCTCCAGGACGCCCTGCGGTGTCCAGTGCTGGACCCTGATCCTTGGAAACAGTCCTGCTTGCAGCTCTCGGGATTTTTCAAAATCCGTGTACACGTGGCTGCTGATGAGTCTGCCCCATAGAACCTTGGCTCCTGGAGGTGCTCGGGGTCAGCTGTGTTTCGGGGGAGCTGGGGCCGAGGTCCCACCCCTTTGAGGGGTGCAGCGGGCAGCCCCATCCTGTTCAGTGAGCACGGGCAACATTTACTGAGAGGGACCAGGGTGCGGGAGAGGGGGGCCGCTTGGGGGACAGAGGATGGTGAGCACTTCTGGGGACTCGGAGGAAGGCCCTGGTCAGGAGTGGGTGATGGGACGTGCTGTGGGACCCTCAGGAGGGAAATCTCAGCAGGCCGCAGGTCCTCCGTCCCTCACCTCCAGCCCTGGAGCTGTCACCCAGGACGGGCAGGAGCCTGACTCTCGGGCAGGGCCTGCACCTTCCGGTTCTGCTTGCCTTCTGTCACTGCCTGAGTTTCCGATCGGATGTCCTCATTTCCTGCCACCTTGGAGTGACGTCCGGGGCCCTCTCCTGGGCACACAGGTTTGGTTTTCCTGCTTCCAAACCAGCTCGATTGCCCAGCCCCAGCCCCCTGGTTTTTATTTATTTATTTATTTAACCCACAAAGCTGCCTCTGCAAATAATAGCACACACCACCAGGTTTGATTAATTAACTGCACAAAAATGATGGGGAAACCAGTGAAGGAGATAATTATGCACAATACAAGTGTCAGATCCACCCACTTGTTCCTTCTTCCCCCTCTGCACACACTTGAGTGAGTGTGTGTGGGGGGGGGTAGGGGGTCCCTCTTTCCCTGGGGCTGCCTGGTGAAGGAGCTTCCCCAACCAGTCCTGCTTGCGTAGGTCAGGGGATAGACGGGGTGGGGGGTGACGGGAGAGACCTCTGGCCATTCCCCGGTGTGCTTCCCGAAGGGTGCCCCCTCCCACCCGGCCCTGCTGGGCCCCCTCCCTGCAGGGGTCCCATCCTGCCCCTCCCTGCTTATGCCTCCTTCCTCCCCCTGGAACCCTCGGTGCCGGGGACTGAGCCAGAAGCAAGCAGAGCAGGCGCTGTGGCCAGATTCCCAGATCCACTCAGGCTGGCCCACCCGCGGAGACAGAGGAGTTCTGGGGGTGTGTGCGGTCTCCCCGACTCCTGCACTGCGGGGGGGGGGTGGATCACAGGGCACTGTGGGCCTCACTTCTCCCTGTTCTCCATCTTTCCGTGGGGGGACTGGGCCGTGCCTGGGCCTCCTGGCCAGTGGCGTTTGGGACTGTTTTAGCCTCACCCGGCCCAGCCCACAGCGCCCTCCATCCCACCTGTGTGACGGGAGGCCCGGGGGGCAGGCGGGGGGGCTTCTGTTCCTCTCCCGGGGAGCCCCGAGCGAGCGCTGGCTCACCTGCGGCCCGCCTCCGCATCGCGGTAGTCCTCGATGGCCAGCCGCAGCTTGCGCCGGTGCAGGGAGCTGCACACGCCCAGGCCCAGCTCCAGGTCCTCGTCACTCAGACTCAGCAGCATCTGCTCCCCGGAACGGAAGGGTAGGGACTGAGTGCCCCGGAGGGAGGTCTGCGGTGGGCGCCTAAGGCCGTCCAGGACCGCTGTTGGCGGGGGCTGAGCCCCAGAGGGGTCTGCCGGCTGCAGCTGCCTACCCCGCCCCCTCCCATCTCCCGGCCCACCTTCTGGGGGTTCGGGGCAGAGCACCTGGGGCGACCCTGCTGCCCATCTTGGACCAGGGCTCCTGGAGGTGGGCGGATGTCCATCCAGACGGAAAGAGCCCTCCTGTGCAGGGCTGCCCCCACTGCAGCCAGGTCAAGGAAGGCCAGTCCCACGTGAAAGGGGAGGAGGCGGAGGCTCAGAAGGGCTCTGCGCCTTGTTAGAGAGACGTGATGATTTATTATTGGGAGCACTGGCGCCTGAGCCTCGATCAGCCAGCTCCTGGGTTACAGCTCCTCCTAACCCTGTGGGTGGGGGTGGGGGTGGGGGTGGGGACCAGACTAGCTCAGGGTTGGTGAAGCTCATGGGAGGGCCAAGGGGGCGTTCCCACGGGGTCCCGGCGCCGGGGGGGGGGGCGCCTCACCTTGCCACTCTTCACGTTCTCCGCACAGGCCTTGACGTACATGGGCATGGCCATGACCACCTCCAGCCAGGCCTGCACGGTGCCCGCCTTCCAGTGGGACATGGGGGTGGTCCGGACCAGCTCCACCTGCTGCAGCCGGTCCACCTGCTCCTCGCCCTCCGACAGGCTGAGGCTCTGCCTCGTGGGGCTGCACTGGCTGTCCGAGTCTGCAACACAGAAGCCACAGGGCAAAGTTGGGTGGGGGACTGGTGGGGCGGGGCCGCAGGGGGCGGGGCCGCAGGGGCGGGGCCGGGGCCCGGCAGGCGGCAATCCGGAGTTCGCATTCCCTGATGCAGGAGGAGGGCAGGGACGTCTTCTCTCCACGCATGTCTTTTTTTTTTTTTTAAAGATTTTATTTATTTATTTTTAGAGAGGGAAGGGAGGGAGATAGAGAGAGAGAGAGAAACATCAATGTGCGGTTGCTGGGGGTTATGGCCTGCAACCCAGGCATGTACCCTGGCTGGGAATGGAACCTGGGACACTTTGGTTCCCAGCCCGCGCTCAATCCACTGAGCTACGCCAGCCAGGAACGCATGTCTTCTTTTAAAAATCAAAATGGCTTTTGTTTTGTTTTGCCACCCCTCCCCCATTACCAGAGTAACCTATGCCCCCCACAAAGATACACGTTTTAAAAACGTAATCCAGAGAGGAACACACATAGAACAGAAAGGGAAAACAGCCCCACACCCCACAGGTTCAGAGACGGCAGCTGCCGGTAGTTAGCTAAGTAGGCTGGGAGGTGCGCCCGCGCCCAGGCTACACCCGCGCCCAGACCCCCGCGCCGCGTGCCCGTTTTGGAACGCACTGTTCTCGGGTACAATCGGGGCCCCCCGCCCCCCTCGCAGGAGGGGCCTGCGCCATCTTCCGGCAGCACGACACTCTCCTCGCGGATCGCACGAGCTCCGTCTTGTCTTTCGCCCGCCTGGGTTGACGCACAAGGGCCCTTCTCCACGCCTCACTGTTACTGCAAACGATGCCGCAGGGATGGTCTCGGCGCAGCTGGGCGGTCTGTTTTCTTAGGACGATGGAGCCGGGCTCTGTTCCTTAACACACCGCGCCTGTTTCTGCAGTGGCCCTCCCAGGCAAACTGTCTTTCCGCCAGCACATCCCAACCCTGTTCTTCAGCCCCAGGGTGGGCTGCATCAACACCGGATGAGCAGGCCAAGTTCGGGTTGGCACGGAGTGGGCCAAGGGGGGCGGGGGGAAGCATCTCTTGTCTAAATACGGCAGGATTATCGAAACCCCAGCAGACGAACTCAACACCGTGAGCAAACGGCGAGTATTAACAAATGAGCCAATGAGAGGGTCCCTCCCGGGACTGTGCATCGTGGATCAGAACGGCGTAAAAAACATCCTTATCTGTCAGATTGGCCACATAGTTGACACATCGCGTATGAAGTGCACACAGATGTTCACAATTACGGAGTTTGGGATCCAGGAAGAACGGCTATTTTCCTCTCGCCTTTGCGTATTCTTGAAGTTCCATGATAAATATATGGGCATTTATAATAAAAATGGGGAAAACGAGAAAGCAGGAAGCAGCGTAAATGGTTATTGATGGGAGTTTATCTGAATGAATGATGGCCCATTCAGATATCAGAATAAATGCAGTTAAGAAATCTGTCACAGGAGATTTTTTTTAAAAAAATTAATCCTCACTCAAGGATGTTTATTGATTTGAGAGAGAGAGAGAGAGAGAAGCATCGATGGGTTGCCTCCCATATGCACCCTGACCAGGGGTCGAGCCTGCAACCCAGGCAAGTGCCCCGACCGGGGATCAAACCCACCACCTTTGGGGACGACCCTGCAGCCAACGGAGCCGCCTGGCCAGGGCGCAGGAGAATATTTTTGACACGGGAACGTGACCACAATCTGTCACTCAGCAAAGAAGCACAGCACACGCAAGACAGCAGGCGCCACGTTCTGCCACCCGTACTGTACACACGGTGTGCGAGATGGCCTGTATAGCTGCAGCCGTGTGCATACATGCACGGATGTGCACACTACTCTACACATGCACATAAAACACAAGGCGGGAGCCCTGGCTGGTGTAGCTCAGTGGATTGAGCGGGGGCTGCAAACCAAAGCATCGCAGGTTCGATTCCCAGTCAGGGCACATGCCTGGGTTGCAGGCCACGGCCCCCAGCAACCGCACATTGATGTTTCTCTCTCTCTCTTTCTCCCTCCCTTCCCTCTCTAAAAATAAATAAATAAAATAAAATAAATAAAAAGAAAGGAAGAATCGTTTTAAAAAAACACGAGACGGGTAAACGTGAGAGTCTTTGTCTCTGGGAAGGGAGGATGGGTGACGGTGTGAGAGCGTGCGCACACGCATGTGTGAGTGTTCGAGATTATTGGTGTCCACACGCTTTTCTGTTTCCCACGTTTTCTGCATGGACTACGTTACTTTTGAAATTAAAAACAAACAAACAAACAAACAACCCAAACCACAGCCTGGAAATCTCGCTTTTCCAAACTATGAGGCCCTTCCCCCTGTTTCTTTACCTCCTGCTGTTTAAACCCCTCGAACGTCCTGGAAAAGATGGCCTCAGCTCGGCAACTGCACACTGTTCTCTCACCCCCAAGGTGCTCCCCCAGAGCCTTCCTCCCCGGCGCCTGGGGCCTCCAGCTGCCTAGCCAAAGCCCCTCAGGCCTCACGGCAGCCGGGCCTGGAGGATGCCGCCCACGGTCCAGCAGGGCGCCGGGCAGAGCGCCCAGACTCTGGACGGCCCTCGGTCTCCACCTCTGCGAAGCTTGCACGACGCTGCTCCCTGTCACCTGCGTCACTGAGTGGCAGTGGGCGACAGACGGGTCTCGTCTCTGCCAGGAGGGTGGGGGTTGGGAGGTCACTGCAATGTCACTCCATTTCTCAGGAGGGCGGAAGGGCCGGAGGAAGGGCAGGTGACAGGTCTGAGCAGGTCACGGGTCTGCAAATATGTGCAGCTGTGGCGCCCGGGGACGCGGAAACTGCAGCTGCCTCTGCACCCCTCCTGGGGGCTCCAGGTTCTTCCTGGTGAGACAGTTGCCCCTAGGGGCACAGAGGCCCAGCCTAGGTGTCCCCGCCCTGCCTGCTGGCGCCAGGCTCCCAAGGACAGGCCTGGCTTGCAGGGAGGTCTTTCTGATCGGGCCCTACAGGAGTGGACTCACGAAGAGGTATTCTCCCTGGGCTGGAGGGAGCTGGGAGCCTCTGCCCCGGTCCTGTAACTGAGTCCTCTCTTGTTACATGGTGACAGGCGACATGTGGCAGAATCTGGTTACCCCAAATTCCAAGACACAGCCCCTGTCGTCTGTTTGGAGCAGGCCTGTGGGAAGAGACCAGGTTTTGGAATTGGACAGACCAAGGCTTTTGGCAAATTTCTTTACTGCTTGAAGCCTCACTTTTCCCACCCATAAAATGGGTATAATAACACACCTCCTAGATGAACACAACTACTACAAACTCTGAATGTGAAGCCGCAGCAGGCACTCCGTCCAGGGTGGCTGTCATCAGTAATGAAGGGCTCCTCCCTCGGGCACTTTTGTGGCCACGCCTGGAATGCAGCTGCCGCTGCCCCAGTCCACTGCCTTGCAGGGAGGAAACGCAGCGGCTGGCGCTCAGCTCAGGTGCTTCGGGAGCGAGCCAGCCCCACGCCTGGTGTGGGCAGGCACCCCCTGTCCCAGCCGACTCCCCGCCTGGTCTGGGTGACAGGGCCGGGGCCGCCTGGGGAGGCGAGGGGTGGGTTTGTGTGTTCTGTGCCAAGGTGGGGAGGGGGGTGTGTCTGCAGTGCTTGGCGATGTCTCCCCAAGTAAGGGGGATAGGGGGGCATGGGAAGGGGCAAGACGGGCAGCAGGAGTCAGAGGCAGAGAGAGGGGCAGAGAGAGGGAGAGAGAGGGAGAGAGAGAACTTCCCAGAGAGGAGGGAGGAGAGGCTCACCCAGGGAGGGAGGCTGCAGGAGAGAGATCCTGCAGGAGAGAGATCCTGCCCGGGACACAACAGATACACAAAGATAAACAGGAAGGAGGAGGGAGTGGGTGGAAGGTGGAGAGGGAATTGCAGATCAGTGGACAGACCAAACCAAAACCAGAAACCAAAAACAGGAACGGACTTCCTGTGAGTGTGTCTTTGGGAGGGTGTGCGGGAGGTTCTGAGCCGGGAGCTGGCTTTGCAAGGCACGTTATTTACGGGCCCAGGCTCCAGGAGTGCCGGCCGGAGGCCACGCTGAGGTCACGTGAGCGAACCACACGCTTCGGTTGCCGAGAAAAGACAGCGCGTCAGCACCCCACCTCCCTCGGCCCGGCCACCCCCCCAGCCCCGGGAGACTGAGCTCCCAGGCGAAGATGCTGCGGACGGCCTGGGGACAGGGACTCTTTGAATTACAGGCGGTTGGCAAATGCTGGCGTTATGGCGCCAGATTTAATGTCCGGGACTCCATCAGTCCTGGCTTTTATTCCCCCCGTCGCAGCCCTGAGAGCGGGAATAACTCATGTTTAGAGGGACTGTCTGGGCCTTGGCAGAGGCTCAGGAGGGGCCCCCCACAGGCAGCCAGCCACTCTGGATCCTTCTGAACGCTGGGGGGCGGTGGTGACTTTGGAACTCGGGACTCTGCATCCTCCCGCCCACCCCGCAGCACAGGCACGCGGGCGCCGCAGGGCGTTCGTAGTCAGTTACTGAGGTTTCCCCGGACCGGGCCCGCAGGAGCAGCTGTGTTAGCTGGGAACAGGAGACACCCAGGCCTGGGGGTTTTACACAACCTCGTCCCCGCTCTCGGTGTCCGGAAAGTGGGGTAATAGTTACGTCTAATCACATAGGTCTGCGTGAGGACTCACTGAGGTGACGTATGAAGTGACAAGAGGCTCTGCCTGGCAGCTGGCGTCTGGTGGGCGTGCGGTGGCTGGGTGGGGGGTCTCTGGCCTCTGCAGCTCACGCCAGTCACCTCCAGGCACGAACAGAGCAGCAGTTGCACACCACGTGTGGCCGCTGAGCCCCTCGGCCACCGGCACGCGGACCGGCGATCTGAACACCCACTGCGTTCTGAAGACTGTACAAATCACGTGCACTAGCTCGTTAATGGCTTTTCAATGGACCACGTTAAAATAACAATAGTTTGGGGTATATTGGGGTAAATGAAATGTATTACAAAAATCCATTTCACCTGTTTCTTACTTTTTAATACGGCCGCTAGACAGT